CTTATGCCTGTATATGACACTGAATAGTAGATTATATTTCACTAACAGATGCAGCCTAAATGATCTGGTAATGGTGAAGAAGATTTCACTGACATTCCCAGAAATACTTATAGACAGAAATATATATACATCCAAAAAGTTATCTAATATTCGTATAAATTTATGTATCGCTCAATTCTTTTGACCAAAACAATTTGTTGAATCCGATTCAAATTTTCAAATACTTTTGACTTGCCTGAATCTTTTTCAGCAAATCATGATTCACCAGCAAGTAAGTAAACAAATCTTTAAAACAAAAAATAGAAAACCTCACACTCAGAATTCTGCTTACAACATGTGAGCAACTCTGAACTTTTTTTATTCGTGTGGCAAGACAAGCAGGCTGAGGCAACTATTTTCTTTTACAGTCTAGAATGCGAACCCTAAAATTATGCCTGTTAGAAACAATATAAGTACATTAGGAACGACAGGAATCCTAAAAGCAGTCTGTGATGGAGATCAGATATTTACATTGTTAATAATTACACCATGGAAATACTCAGTAAACTTCTCTGGTTTATATTTGGAAAGAAGTGAGGGGGGCACTATGCTGCATGAGGAAGACAGTGTTTTCTAACATACAAATAAGCAAGTAGGATGCTCAGATCAGCAAGACCAAATTACCAGTTGATCTTTAAGCCGCCCTCTGAGGAGGGCTCTCTCTGGCCTGCTCACATCCAGTTGTGTTGCATTTTCAAACCCTGGAAAAATTCTGAAAGACTAATTAGGGTATTAACACAGCACAACTATTCAGAAAAAAACAGCTACAGACCATGTATGTCCTCAGAGACCGGGCAAGAGCTGGTAAAGGTTTCAAACAAGTAGTGATGGGAGCAGAATAGTTCCGATCTATTTAAAAAAGAGAAGAGTTGATCTGTGTTGGCAAATTGCCAGGCAAGTAGGTAGAGATAACTTGTGAGCTCTTAGAAGCTTTTACAAAACTTATCTGAATGCTGATCATATACACATACTATCCCTGGCAGCTCTGGTCACTTGAAGCTATGTCTCCAAGACAGAAACTTGTATTATTAACCTCCAAAATCTCTTGCACAAGTCAGTGTCTCTATTTCTTGTATGCTTGCAAAACAGCATTGAGATATGGGAAGCTGTGGCTTTTCCATTACCTTGAGAACAGGCTTAACATAAGGCAGGTCAAAACAAAACAAAAATAAAAAATAATTTTTAAAAATCCAAATACAGACAAGGCAGTTACGCAGGAGGTTACAGAAAGGGAAAGAAAAAAAATCCCTTTCTTCCAGTTACACATTGCAAGACTGAATCATTCATTGTCTCCACCTTTATACCATGACTCACCCACGCTGCTGAAACTCAACCCTATCAGGTATTTATGAGTTTACTGCGCTCTTGCTGGGGTGGTGAACATCCTACACATGTAACAACTCTGCACGGAGCCTCTTTATGGGCTGCAAATTAAATTTCATCCAAAATGTGCCCGCCCTTCGCACTTACACGCTGCACACCTATGAAAATGACCACGTCTTATTGCTGCCCCTCGTTTCAGTTTGCAGGAGTAATCGCTGCTCCTGGCGCGATCCGGGGCCCTGGACACTGAGCTGCAGTGCTGTTTCTGAGAGGTGGCAAGGCAACAGTGCCAAACACAGAGAAACTACCATGCAGGACCATTGTGAGGATTTGCAAAACTGGCTGACAGGGTTTTTTAGAAGTGGTGAGTCATTATCTAACAGGAGCGTTCTTCTGGTCTTCCACAGGGGCTGGTATTTTAAGTCCGGGGGATAATTTATTCAGCGATTATATAAATGTGAATCAAAGCTGATTAAAATTTGCAGATTACAAAGAACACTGAATAATAAGAACAGCTCTGGAATGTGATTTAGATTACCTGGTGAGTCAAGCATGTTTAAATATGTCAGAGTGGCAAATTGCAAATTAAACTTAAAGCAAGAAATATAGAACACACTCGCAATAGTCTGGCGAGCGGTACTGCCAGAAGCATTGAGAGATCACAATAGATGGGTAACTTGACTATATTTTCCAGCACAATGACGCAGAAGAGCTCATTTTCCCTTTGACTATTTAGACAGAAAGACGATGGTTAAGAGGAAGGATGTGACTATACCACCACTGTGGCACGAGAGAGAATGATCTGGACACGCAGTTCTGATATCCACAGCTGAAACAAGACATGGAAAATTCAGAGACAAACCACAGAAGTGATTTCAGAAATAGGGGAAATGTCTTAATGTGGAGGACACGATATAATCCGGTTAGATGGTGAAAAATACAACAGAAAAGCGATTTGACTGCTGTATTTATTACCTTCACAGATAGATTATACCAGGAACCAATGGCAAAAAGTTGCCTTCCCCCTGGACGTGCCAGTTACAGGTTTCAATGGCTGAGATTTACCTGAAGGCTGCAGCTGACAGAGAGAGGGGCAGCAGCAACCGGATGGAGATTTGGAGGCAGTGAACCCGACACTGTAGTTAGCAATAACTATCTGTAGCCATACGGTAGGTTTCAATATAATTTTCCAATAAAAATCAATGTTAAAAATTAACAATCTAGAAACGTATCCCACATTTCTTTAAAATTCTCTTAAAACACTCAGCAGTCGTTTATTATAAATTCAGTGAGGAAAATAAATGAGGCCATATAATCTACAAATATAATCATAGTATCCATCATTATTATTTTCTAGCAAGCTGTGCTATAGTGTAATATAAACCCCTTTATTTAGTATTTCACATCAGCAGCCAAAAGCAGTTGACTATTTTGCAATCTTAACAATTTATTATACTTTCCAAGTTTCCCTGTTTTTTGACACAAAGCCCACATTAATTCATCACCTTCATAGGACTTAATTATTGTCATAAACTAAGGGACAACACAAGCTGTTATTTCCCACAGATGAGCCTTACTTAAACTAAACTGGACTCTCAGGAAGAGATCGCGCTGTGGAAAATATTGTTCCCCTACTTATTCCCCTATCCTACCACTTTTAAGAGTTAAATCTATCTCCTTGCTAAAGAAGATAAAGGAGAACAGATTGTTCAAGGTTCTGTTGTGCCTTGTGAACAGCCAAAAACTGTTACTCGTATGTTGCTCTCATTTTTTTTCTGTTGCACAAAAACCTCTTAGTTTTCAGAACTACACAGTCTCTCTCACTAAATACCGAGAGGAAAAAAAAAAAAAAATCAGTGAGGTCTCATTTAATAAAGGCCTAAAACCTCAAAAATGTAACTGACTAACACAGTTCTTAATATGCACAAAAGACACATAGTAACAAGGTAGGTCATTTACTAGTCATCACCATGTTCAGTAATAAATACAAGGTTCTGCATTTGAAAAGGTGTTGAGGTGGTGGTAAAATGTGGGTCTATCCAAGTCCCGCAGCAAAACAAGCCTGTGGTTTTTAAATGCAAGATCCTGCATTAAGAGAGGTCCAGTGGGCACATTTTTTTCCAGTCAAAAATAAATTTATACAGCAACAGCTTGCATAATTCTCTTGGGATTTGTTAGAAGCTCAAAAGCAATGATGTGATCATACTGTACGCTAAGGATGTACATGAAATAACCCCAAAAAAATGAAATAGCAATGGGTGTCAGGAAAATATGGATTCAAGTCATGAACAAAGAACAAAAAAAAAACCCCATGCATACTACCTACGAAGATGGCATAAGCAACGTGATAACATGGTGTTTTTTATTTTCAAAACCTCTTAAAGAATGGAATATACATTATAACCTTGTACATCATCCCATCAAGCTGTTAGTGCTCCGATTAAGCTCTCCAATAGCTGAGGATACACCACACTTTTACAAATACCTTTACTGGAGTACTTTGGGAGTTAGCTCACAGTTCTACACAATTTTGCAACATTGTGCATATAGACACAAACCAGTGACCAAGAACCAGTGAATAGAATCAAGTGCCAGGGAAAATCTGAAGCACAAAGCTCCTGGTATTTTTAGGCTAGGGCTTCAGCAAAATGAAGTATAGCTGCAGCTGCAGGATGAGAGTGGGAGCTGACAAAGCCAAGAGGACAGTGGCCATCTGAAATCTGATGGAAGAGGTTGTTTCCACCATGGAGAGTTGAGGCCAGCAGTGCATATGGGCTCAGGAAGCCTTAAGTACCAGTCCTCGCTAAAAACCGAACCACACAGAAATTTCAGCTTCCCTTCACCTGCCACAGTCAAGTCTTTTCACCTAATTTTAGAGGGAAGTGGAAGAACACCTCATTTCCATGGGGATACAGATAGGGAAGTAAAAGCTTCTACAAAACACATGCAAAAGAGGAATCTGAACCACTCCCACATCTCAAGTAATATTTGAATCACTCCGAATGTCATTAGCACTTTGGTTTTTTTGTTAGAAGCCTGATCTCATCTGCAGTTTCACAGGAATGCCTGTGTTGAGTATTACACCAGACTGCGTGTGAAGCAGCACGAAAATTCAGGTGGTCTCAAGTAAGCAAAACACTGTAAGCATCTCTAAGGGACTTACCGGGTATTCGAAGTGGTATTTGAAGTCTGAAGAGCAGCTGATGTTAAAATACAAAATGTAAAATCTTTACGAAGGTTTAAGCCCTTCTCACTGCTATCTCCTGTGCGATGGACAAACATTTAGATACAACAATATTAGACTACTGCTTCTATTACTAGCACAACACAAGTAACAGATTTTGAGATTCTAATTCGTGAAAGCTGTAGCTCCACTTGAGAATGCACTCAGCCCAGAAGTCGTCGCTACCCTGAGGAGCTACGTATCCAAGTCCTTCCAAACACCAACCAGTAGAATTTATAAGATGTTCCCGGTTTCCATTACTTACTGGTGTCTCTGTAAGTAGTTTAGCAGATAAAACTGTTGTAGACCATACTGACAGAAACAGTACTTGAGATGAACAGAGGAAGATGCTATATCCTACATGTTTTCATCACAGCTTTCTATCAAAAAACATATGAAAGGTGTAATACACGCATCAAACCAAACCACATTTATTTCATCAGTCACGAGTGCAAATATAGCAACAAGTCAATTTAGCAAATTACAACACATAGAGAAGAATGTAATGTAAATGCTAAGTACACTGACAGACCAATGTCAAAACAGCAGCAAAAGACAGTTTCTTCAAATAAAAACTTCTATTCTTTTTACCTGTAATCTAAAATGACATAATAAATCTAGGTCAGGAATGTCTCTCTGCTAACTCATGTTTAGCCAGGTATTCTGTTATTAACAGAATTCGCATTATCCAGTGTGCAAAAGGCCTGTCCAAGTTTCTTATTAACAGATGTTTTGGTTTTAAGCAACTTTTACCCAATATTTAAATAATAGAGTGCTGATACTAGTTAATATGTTCTGCTATCTCATAGTACAAATTTAGTAATATGTATTTAAAAAAACTAAGTCCAATTTCAGTGTATACATACAATTCTGCCTGGATCCAAAGTGGGCAACATTAAAGATAAAATTGATTTTTTTATTTTTTTAAAAAACAAACAAAAAAAAAAGATAGTCACAAATCATCTCAGGTTTTTTGCATCATCTTTAAATCTGTAGTTAAAATATATGCAGTACTTAAGTATAAAATAGAAAGCGTTCCCATTAGGAAGATACTGCAGTGTAATTAGCCTTTTTTCCCTACCACTTAGTAGCTGAGGAACAAGATTTACGCTTAACATCCAATCACTATTTTGCTTTACAGAAAAGCAAAAGTTGACTACCAGTATTAGCATCAGAATTTTTACACTGGAGATTTATTTAGCCTTCTTCTTCATTATGAGCTGTTGCTTCTTCTCTTTTTCTTTATAGGCAATGAATTGAGAGTCCGTACCAAAGATCCTGTCCCACCACGTGAAGGTTGAAGCGTAATTGCCGATAAAGTTCATGTGATGGAAATCATGAAAACGGGCCCCAGCATAGAAAGGCACCAAATGAAGAGGGTTCAGAGGAACATCATAGCCACTACAGGGGAGAAAAGAAAAAATAAATCAACTATAGTAAGGATTCTTCCCAGACATAAACCACAAAACATAGACACTAATATGTCGTTTTTATAAAATTTTTTTTTTTTGGTACTGGAAGGCCCTTAGGTAATGACTGTAATACTGGCTTAACAGGAAAACTAGATCCATCCTATCCTAGCTAAATGCTTCTGTAAACTATCCCACCATGGCTTCGGCACTTGCTGACCTTTTTAGCCCAGTTTACTAGGCAACAGAAAGAAATTTAAGCAAGTCACCTAAAAAAAAAATCACAGCGGCTGACTTCCTGCTGGCTTAGCAGCTTTACCTGTCTCTAGAGTGATGCTAGGAATCATAGAATGCCAGATTGGAAGGGACCTCAAGGATCATCTGGCCCAGTCCTGCTTGGCTAAAGCACAGTCTGGACACAGTCTGGCCCAGCAGGAAGGAAGAACAAGAAATAGCACGATATTTTAGCGACAAGATATAAGCATCAGCTCTGCTGCTCATCAAACAGCATCTCAAATCAACAACAATTGCAGTACTTCTACTCTTATTTTCACCTCACTGCAAGGTCTTCAAACGTTTAAAGTCTAAAATAATTAAAGTAATATGAAAACCAGAACAGTTTGCTTTAGAGGGATTTCAATTCTTCTGCTTAGCAGTACTGGAAAACATCTTACCACCACCTAGTGGGGAGTGCTCAAGATAATTTGTGCTAAATACCTCATGTGGACAACAAACTAAAATGATAATTAACATAGGAGAATCGTGTTTTGCATCAATTGCTTTATGACATGTCACAGCACACACTTCTCAGTCTCTAAGCCATACATAACTAAACCGACAATGACTTGTACGATGAGTTCATTACTAGCTCGCGTTCCACTACAGCACTTGACACTCAGCTTACAGTAAGACACCGTATGCTTCATAGCGTATCTACAGACACAAGGTCAAGTGTAATACTAGCATTTCAAAAACGAATTCTTACTGTCCCCTTCCTCTTGATCAAAGGGAAGAAAAGCTCATTCATTTGCAGATGAACCCAACTAAGCCTACTGGGATTTGCACCAACATTTTGGAGTCAGATTAAAAAGAAGTCAGTTTTACTGCTGAGATGAGAAGTCTTGTCCTTTGTATCTACGCTAAATAGATAAATAAATAAGCAAGTAAAAGTAATTTATGTATTTCTTTTAAAGACAGTCAGTGGTCACATAGCCTAAAGTTTATCTTGTCCAGGAAAACTGTCTGAGGAAGTATTAAATTAAAAAAACTCTTGGCTGAAGTATCACTTTTTGCAATTGATTTTTGGTGTTCTAACATGCGTAAGATCACTTGTACACGAAATACCAAGAGCCAGACATCCTGATGAGGCACCTAGCTTCCGAAACCCTCCTTGAGGTGCTCTAGCTGATAGTCCACACCCTTTTAATCAGCAAGATTTAGCTATTAACACTACCTCAAAGCAGAAAACAGTGGTAACTGTCCAGGTTATGTCATTCTTTGTAAGACTCGTAAAAGCATTTCAGGGCAAAACAAACTGTAAATGTCAGTGAGAGAGACAGGTAAGTTTGAGACAGACTTAGGAAGAAGAGAAAAAACACGTATTAAAAAGCAGCGAGGATTTCACTCACCTGTGTACGTCAATGGTTTCCATCAAGCGACATATCACCCATGCCCACAGAAGAATCACATGGTTACAGAACACAACAATTCCAATAAAAAAGCCAGTTCCAAGGATAAGTGTTTCCAGAGGATGGGCATATTCTGCTTGCATTCCAAATGGAGACTAGGAGATAACGGACAGAAAAAGCGTCACCAATTTTATATAGCCCCAAATCAGAATGACCATTTTGAGGTACTCTCCCCATTTCCCCAACAAAACTACAGTAGGACAAACAGAATGATGTTGTGGGCAAGGGAAATGGTATGATTCAGCAAGGGCCTTAACACAGGTGTTCGGCTCCTCGTTGGGAAAGCAGACAACAATATTCCAAGGTCATAAGGATTATTATTCCATCAGTAATTTCAAATACTTCACTACTAGTTAAAAACTTTTGTTTAAGCTTACCACTACCCCAGGCCAAAGCGTTATTTCAGGAATATTAAAGCGTTTGGCAAGCTCCTATCAGCTTTGCTACACATCCAGTCTTGGAAGCATAAGAAAGAAGGAAGCCAAAATATTCTCAGAATCGGGATTTACTTAGAAATGTATTTTAAAAATAAAAATTAAAAACCCCGTCACATCTTTGATGCTTTTTTTAAAAGAAATTTGTACCATTCAAATGTTGAGATCAAAATAAAACATTTTCTTTTCTTTATATATACACACACACCAGTCATTCCTACATTTAGTTTACCAAAAAGGACATTGCACAGGGAGTTTTCAAAAGTAGAACACTATACAAAGAGAACGGTTTAAAACATTTTTACTTAATACTGAAGATTGTAAACGTGATTATCAGCAAAAAAAAAAAAAAAAAAAAGAATCCACTGGCTTAAGGTCTATTTTTAAAATCATTACCTTTTACTACTATCAGGGCAAGTTTTTAGTGTTATAGCCATTTGCCTACAGATGACTTCCATGTGAACGCTTAAGAACCACTCTTAAGAATAATGACCAGATCATTAAGAATAATGACCAGAAGCTGCTCCTGCTAGAGATGTGAGGGGCTGCCAAGAGCAGAACAGCAGCTGCCAAGAGCTGCAGATGTACGTGGGCGCGCGGGCGTGCATCCACCAGTACCGAGCTCCTGTTACCGGCAGCCTGCACACACCACCCCTGCCACAGTAGCTGGCAGTTTAGGTTCTACACTGAAACACAGCAGCGCTGACTTCTGTGACCCAGAGACGGTGCTATCTAAACACAACTGTACACAAACGCTGGTCCCCACCTGGCTTAGAACGGGGAGACACCTCCAGTCCAGCGTGGCTCGTTACCTTCCATTCAACGTTGGCTCCAACACCGCTGGACGTGGAACTGCCCCAAATATCTCCGTACTGCACTGTGCTCTCGATGCAGTATCACACAACTGACTGTCCTGCTTCCAGAGGCCCACATCCAAAGCTATAACCCCTCCCTCAATGGCGTATACCGCACAAAAGATGCACACACCCAGGCCTTGCAGGAGCCGCCTGTCTGGATCATGTTCTGGGGCTTAGCATGCTCTGGGTAACACCCTACCTGGTGGAGAATTGGCAAAAAAAAAAACAGAAACCTACCATTTCTCCCCTCCTAACAATGAGACCTATAGGCATGTTTTTAAAAGCTTGCCTCATCTAGGTCAACAGATACGATCGAACTTGAGCAAGAGTGCAATCTTTCATTTCCATTAAATGAAATAAAATTAAAGGAGGTGTTTTCAGAAACAAAATGGGTGACTGTTCTTCATGAAGAGCTCAAGAAAAGACATTTATCCTACTGTCAGAGCCATGCGAAATCCTTAATTCTTCCAAGTAAGACTTTTTAAATGAGTTGTATGAAACCGCATGTACTAAACACTATATAAAAGAAGAAAAAAAGAAACCAAGGAATACGTACAACAAACTCATGGTGAACCTTATGGATATACTTGTATATCCTCTTGTGATGCAGCAATCTATGCAGGAAATAGTGCCAGGCATCCTCAATCACTGCACATCCAAAACACTGGGCAACCAGAACGTACCTTTAAAAACAAGAGCTATTCGGTATAGAATATACGACCAGATGCACAGTCTTGAAAGAGAAGATAGTTTACATGCTAGTAAGGGTGAGAAATGATTATGGCTATTACCAACTGAATTGACACTACCTTTTTAACACACTCAAAATATTAATTACTAGGTACAAGGGCTGCTGTGCTTATCTGTTGATAGGCTGAAATGAGTTGTCATGCAGTACAAGCTGTTATTTCAGTGTTACAGACATGGTCTACAGCGAACACTCACAGACTGTGTAAGACCTAGATATAAAAATATAGAGCTACATCAGCTACCCAAACCAGATAGAAAATAGCTTTCCAAGAAAGATGATTTTTTGTTGTAAAGAATTGCTATCAGGGTGGGGGGCTGGGGGAGGAGGCGGCATTTGTAACTAATTCAGCTTTGTTTAAAAGTGTATCAGTTTAATGCAGAAAAAGGAGAATGTGAAGTAGGTGGTACATTCTCTCCGCTGAGATGATATAAAACAAGGTGGAGAGAAGAAACAGGATGAATAAAAAAATTTTGGATAAAAACCCCCCAAGTCCAATATTTAACCCATGCCATCTTCAATCTTGCTTTGATTCCATAAACTCTGTCCTAATTCCCCTTCTTCTGAGTATCAGAACAATCTGGGTCCATTTAAAAAAAATATATATAGAAAGCGCTAATTAGCTCCTACAGCAGTTAAGCATCAACAGAAGTAAAATTAACAAACACAGTTTACGTCACCAAAAACTTGTGCATTAGAGCTGACAACACTGTTTGTTAAATACTCTGCACCTCCAGCTGTATGTAACTCAGCATCAACGTATGAGAAAAATCTACCTACCATCTAGGCATCTCTTCCCACTCATATGGGATGTTAAAATACTCCGTGAAGTAATAGGTGCCACAAATCAGAGGAAGCTGAATGAAAAAGTGATTGAAGAGGAGTGTTTTGAAACACTTCCACTGTTTTTCCCATGTTTCTGGTTTATCCTATGAAGGAAAAAGAATCAGTTGTGTTACATATTTCTATTGCCCATAACAGCAGTGTTGCAAAAATAAGTTTGGAGGCAGTTTCATTTCACCTTGGAAGACAGACAGCAGGTCCTCCAATAATACAAGTTAACTCAGGCAATACACATTGCATGGGATTGGAATCAGTTTCATCAAAATCTCTTGTTTTTCTAAGCTAGCTTTCTATAAAATTTAAAGCCTCTCAACAGAAGTTGTCTTTGTCAGTCGCCCAAAACTATTCCTGCTATTTCACTGCTTGCAATTAGCAGGAACACTTCATGTTCAACAGTTTAACACAAATCTACGTTTTTCTTCTTCACACCACAGAATGCTTTTCCATAGCTAAAATAATACAAAGAGAAGCTGAAGATATAAGCTTGTGAATAAGTAAGTTATCTTGAAAGGATCCAGTTTTTGCAGGGAGACATTTTACCAATTACTGTAGTAATTTCAGAAGCTGGTATTATTAATTTGCAATTCATCTTAGAATGGACTGGAGGAAAATAATCATCTTTAGATACTGGATGTGCTTTTAATACCAATTATAAGCGTGCAGTCCATCCCAGGCTTTCTCCTTTGTTCAAATACTTCAAAATCCTTTCAAGAAGGTGTGCATAGAGGCATTTTGAAAGAGACACTTGCTATTAAATAAGCACACCATGTAATTCTTTTATAATACTAAGACACACCTCTATCACCAGATGCTATGATTCTATTATATCATCCCCTCCTGATATATAAACTATACATATAACTTTGTTAGCAAAGACGGACATACCCTTTTTTCTCCCTATACCACCACAGTGGAAAGGATACCCTCCCTCAGAAAAACCTCCTTTCCTTCCCCCAAGTCCACTCCTCTTTCTCTCCTCACAGACACTGTAATTTTGCTATGTCACTCCTCACTGTCTGAGTGATAGTGGAAATGGGGTCGTACACATTGGAAACTCAGATTCTGCGGTTATACGTTCTACTCCACGTGTTCAAAGACAAATCAGGAAGTGTGTAGTTCACGACTCTGTCTTACCTGCTGAATTTTATACTTCTGCATGTATGGTATAAACTGAAAAACAAATCCAGGTACACAGAGCAAAAAGTATGAAACTTCATGAACTATAAGTGAACCCCAAGTTGCAATCTGGAACTTTGTGTAGTTGTCCAACATGTAATTCCAAGCATTTTTAAATGGTTGCTGCAGGGGATTGTCAGGCAAGAAAGAGTCTATATATTCCACTGCCAGATAAGCAGAGTTCAAAATATTAACGCTGTCGTTCATGGCCATTGTTCAAACATAAAACATCACAATTACAGTTCTTCTACAGTTGTCTCTAAGTAACCTGCAAATGTTGAGAAAAATCAAATAAACAGCAATTAATCTTCAGGAAAACAAATGAACGAACAAGCAAGCACTACCTTAGCTGTTGCCTAGTTTTAAAGTAAAAGCAGAGAAGAGAAAGACAGATTCTCTGTAGAAAGAGTAATGTAGAAGAAAAAAAAATTAAGATTAGTTTGAGAGACAATCAGCCCTCAAATTTTAAGATTAGGTCAAGGGAACAAAAGGATAAAAAAATATCAATTATGACCCAATTCTATTTCAAGTTTTTTTTCAGGATAATTCTATTCTGTATTAGAACAGCATAGAAAGGCTCAAACCAAGCTTAGAAATTAAATTCACTGTGATCTCTTGATTATCAAGCCTCATTCTTCTTATAGCTGTGAGCCAGAATCCACGCCAACTACATCAACACAGCAGGCTGCCTTCAGATTGCAGCTGGCTCGAGGCAATCCACCTTCCCATAAGGAATGAAGTTTTCATCCCAGCTCCCAAAAGCATAGAGGCAGTGTTCCCGCAGGTGCCCCCAACTCCTGCTATTTCTAGAGAGCAGGCTGCTTGTTGGTTTGAGCTAGAAGGGACCTTTAAGGATAACATAGTCCAAACCCCTTGGAATAGGCAGGGACATTTTTCACTAAATCAGATTGCCCAAAGCCCCGACCAACCTTACCCGGAGTACCTCCAGTGACGGGGCATCCCCAACTTCTTTGGGCGACCCGTTCCAGTGTCTCACCACTCTCGTCATAAAAAATAACATCCTCATGCCCAATTTAAGCCCACCCTTTTTTAGTTTAAAACCACCACCTCTTGTCTTGTCGCTACAGGCCTTGGCAAAAAGTCTTTCTCTATCTTTCTTATAAGCTCTCTTTATATTCTTGAAGGCGTCCCCAGAGGCTTCTCTTCTCCAAGCTGCCCCCCCAACTCTCTCGGCCTCTCTCCACAGGCGCTGTGCCCTCGGATCACTTTCGCAGCGCCCCTCTCACAGGTCCATCTTCCACTCTAAAAATCACGCGCAATTCCCAGGCTAGAGGACGCTGCTTTAGCCCCCGCTCCCCCTAGGTCCAGCCCAAACAATACACCAAGCCCGGTGCCCGACAACATCAGCTATCCTTTCTCCTTCCCAGCAACACCATCACGATGGTACCGTTTCTTAGCAGCAGCAAAAACGTCACGGCAGGTGCTATTTCATTAACGCTAAGCACATCGCAGCAGATGCCAGGGAAGCTTACGACCTCACCTCCCCAACCGACGGGCGCGCAAGGCCGCTCCCCCTCCCGAGAAAGCCGCCGGCTGGCCGGGGGACCAGCGGCCAGACCCTGCGCCTGCATCGGGCCCGGCCCGGCCGCGGACAGACCCCGGGCCCAGGCCGCGGGGAACGCCCAGGGAGCCCCGCGCCTGGCCGGCCGCCTTCCCCCGGGGGCGGCGGGGCCCGGGCAGCCTCTCACCTGGGCGGCGGGACCGGGCAGCCTCTCACCTGGGCGGCGGCGGCGGGGCCCGTCGCAGGAATAACAACCGCCGCGGCCGCCGGCTCCCCGAAGGCGCCCTCCCATTGGCCGCGCAGCAAGCCCCGCCCCGCCCCGGCGCGGCGCCCATTGGCTGGCCGGCGGCAGCGGCGGAGAGTCAGGCGGCGGGGAGGGAGGGGACGGAGCGGCGGATCCCGCGCGCCGATTGGCTGGAGGGGTGGAGTGAGGATAGTGAGACCTCGGCGCGCGGCCAATGAGGCGGGAGGGAGGCCGGGTGACGTCCAAGACGTGATGAGGAGACCACCGATACCTCAAAGCGCGGCGGGGCGGGGCGGGCGTGACCGGCCGCACGAGCTGCCGAGAAGCATAACCGCAGCGGGGGGGGGGAGGAGGAGGAGGAAGAAGGAGGAGGAGGAGGAGGAGGAGGAGGAGGAGGAGGAGGAGGAGGAGGAGGAGGAGGAGGAGGAGGAGGAGGAAGAAGGAGGAGGAAGAAGGAGGAGGAAACGGTCGGTCCTGAACGCTCCCTCGCTTGAGGAAACAAACCGGCTGCAGTCCGGGGGTGGGTGGGTCCCGGGAGCAGGGGGACCGGTTCACTGAGTGAGGTAAACGGCAACAAACACAAAACGTACAAATTCAAATCAAAGGTTTCAGCCTTCAACCCGCGCTGCGTCGCACAGTGAAATCGACACTGAGGTGCAATCAGCCATTCAAACCCAGCATCTGCCAAAAAAATAAAAATGACGTTACTCTCACCTGTTACACTTAATTTCACAGCTCGGAGTTTCACTGGAACTTAGAGGTGGCCGCTACCTTAACTAATGGAAAACCAAAGCTTTCCGAAACAGGCTGCAGCAAACCAGTAACCTTTACATGACCAGTTCCTAAACCGTGATAACTCTTCTCAATTGCATTCAGATCTTTAGGACACCAGCTTCTCTCACACTCCCTCCACTTCCCTCTACCCCCCCCCCCCCAAAAAAATCTCCTCGCTGATGTCAAGATTATTTGGTTTGAGACTTGTATTGAGAAACACAAGTTTTAAGCGACTTGTTGGCATTAGGAAACAATATACAAACTTTTATTTGAAGAAAGTGTCTCAAATACGACAATAACTTTGGTCATGTTAAAAGGAGGCCATCCAAGAACGAATAGAAATGAGCTGCTTTATAAGCATGGCCGCATACAATATACTCAGATATTAGCTAATAGAAGCTAGGGTTACACGCATAAATAGGCCTTAGTACCATGCAAGTTCAATGCAATTTCATACATTCATTATAAATTTTCAGTTATTTTCATGCCAAATCACCTTTTGGATAAAAAGGTAAGAAAGAAGTAACATCTAAATGTGACCAAAATTGAACAGGGAAAAAAAAAAAAATCGTAAGTACAGACAACATTTTTATTAAAAAGATCTTGAAATTACACCTGTTCAAGAAGTGTTACACCTTCTCTGATCTCCTTCAGTGGGAATTTGTAGTGTTAAGTATTGTTACATATCAAAAAATACAACTCTGTTTTACAACATAGTACTGACATATTCAAAGTACTGTGCCAAATTATAAATAGTAAAATCAGGTTTTGAAGAATTTCAATAGAAAGCAACTTATGCTCACACAAACATACGCACATAGTATAGTTATGTAACAAAAGTTTTATAAAAGGAAACAAATTTATCCCATGCCAGCTTGAATTACTGAGGTGGGATTCAATACCTACTATGAAGATTGACGGTTCGTTTCTTTAAATATATTTATTAGTCTCTGGAAAAAATAAGACAAAAATTTACTTTCACCAGAATACACACCATTCTTCACTGACAATCCGCTTCTCAGTCATGACTGACATAAGTCAGTCTGTATGAAAGTGGCTTTTTTTTTTTTTGAAGACCTTGCAATAAAAAAAGTGGTCCACTAGACTTCAAAAATTCAATCAGCTTCTGCTCAACTGCAGAATAATCCTACGCATTGCTTCTACCTAGAGTAATCTTCATCATCTGTCATCTGTAATTGTAGACAGTCACATCTTCCACTGTGACTCAAGGTGCAGCTACAAGTAGAGAAGTGCTTAGATACTCAGTCACTTCAAATACACTTGTTGAAGACTGCTTCTAGTGCATAATCAAGTTGAAAGTCCTTTCGCTGATCATAATGGTTTGTCAATAACTGTAACACCTAGAGTGAGGAAAAAAAGGCATAAATCTTTAGGTAGTATTTTTTAAAAAACAAAGAATGTGAAAAAAAAGTTTTAATATAATACCTTGCATCTAGCATAACATCAAAAAACTGCGCCAGCATCAGTGTTCATATTTTCCCTAATTTCTGACAGAAAGTTGTCTGAATCAGTGCAAAGTTCGGAAAGTTTCTGTAACTTGAAAAAATTTGCCATTACTCAAGTTTACTTTAATTTTGTTATCACTGAAATATATCCTTAACATTCGCTTAAATAACTCATTTGAGAAACTGCAATTATTGAAGGGAAAGATTCCTGAAACAGGTCTTGTTTTCTAAAAACCAAATCACAAAGAACTTCAGAACTGGACTCCCGTAGACTGAGACACAAATCTCTTGTTAAAAAAAAAAGGACTGGTCATACCAGAATCATTGCTCTGCCTCACCACTTACATGCTAAATCTCTCCTGAATACAGTTTAATACCATTTTTTTAACTTGTAGCGAATAATTGTTTGAACTCATTCAAACAATTCAAAGCATATCATCAGATTCTTCATACCCATTCTAGTATTTTAGGTTTTACCTTAGACAGGACTTTCTTTGGATGCTTCGTCAAATTTCTTATCCTAGCTGTTACACTGTAAAAAGTCAAAAAAAAAGAAAAGAAAAAAAAACCAAACAAAACCCCAAAAAACAAGTACTGTTAAAAAAATAGCTATACACATTACCTGCATAGCTCCTTCCTGTACTCATACAAGATGACACAACTGTCCATTTATCAGTTGTTGGATTATAATATTCCACTGTTGATAAATTACAGGAACCATCATCTCCTCCAACTACATACAAGAGACCATTTACAGCACAAACACCTGAAAACAAGACGGGAAACCAGTATGAAAATTAGCAATTGGCTTGTTCACCCCATAAAAGCACGGCTTCTATTCTGCAACATCACAAAAGCAGGAGAAATCCAGAAACGTGCCATTAACACCAAATGATATGACCGCTGATTTAAAGTAACTGTTGCGTATACCTGCGTTCCTTCTGCACATGTTCATGTCCGCAACCTGCTTCCACGCACTGGCGACAGGATCAAACACTTCAACGCTTTTTCTTACCAAAGGACCATCGTGACCACCTACCGCATACAATAAATTGTTTAACACACCAACACCTGTGAACATACGAAAATACTCAAAATTAATCAGAGAGTGGTTTGACTGATACAAAGGAGAAACAACAAATACTGTGTCCGCTAACATAAATCCTCCATCCAGCCAATGTGAGGAACTATTTCAAAAGACATCGTGGTCAGGATGCATTAAAGCAAAAAGACGGTAACTACAGCAAGACACTGATAAAATGTCTTGTGTGCCCATGTACCATATATTGCAGCATACAAAGACCAGAGCTGTTCTGCAACAGAAGATCTAGAAAATTTTAGACAAAAAATGACGTGCAGGAAAATGAGGATTGTTGAAATTTAGGACTAATTAGAAGTGACAGTAAATGAGACAAGTGTGCTGAGCCAGCATAATGGAAATCTGACAAGATGATAAAGCTTAAGTGAATTTTTAGAAAGTAAAAACTGTGCAGTACGGAGGATAAAAGCTGAATGGATAGACAGTATACAGTAGGGATGCTTCCACTGAAGTGGTGGAATACCTTGTAAACATGTATATGAAACAAAAGAAAACAGTTAGGGTAAGCACCTTCCTCCTCCAGGATTTGGAGGACACCAAGCTTCCTTGAACCAAGCTGCACTTATCAAAATATCCAAAAGGTATTACAGGGTCTCCTTTACTCCTAGGCTCCCCTTTACTTTACAACAAAAGTTTATCCATCTGTAAGCTTGAGATGAAGGAATAAAGCCAGTCTGTATCTACTTGCTAATTGGGCTGCACATATTGAAAAAATGATAATAGGGGAAGCAGAAAGGAAGGCCTGTTTGTTTCTTCCTCACTTTATAATGCACTATTAGAACCCAAACATAACAGATTTCAGAAATGTGTAGGACTTTTTTGCATTCCAACTGGTGAGTGATGGGCCATAAATACAAGTGAAAAAAACACTACTATGAAAGTACACTGGAAAATCTAATATATGTCACATTTAAGATTATGAAACTCAAAGCTGAGATACAGATTTGCAAATAGAGTTCATAAAGGGTTCCATGGAGAGGGCACAGCTTAAAATCTTTAATGAAGGGAAACAGCAAATACGGATGCGAAAGATCAGTTCGGTGCTTCAGGAAAAAAAAAAAAGAAAAAAAAAGCTGAGTTAAAAAAAGAAAACCCTGAGACCTGAACAGCCAGCTGAAATACCTTTGAAAAAAAATATCACTAATATTGTATGTAAGAGCCATTCCTACACAGGGAAAGAAATGACTCCTGATGAAACAACTAAATTTTCTTATTTTTAATAAGACAGATTTTAATAATTAAAGGAAGAGGGGAAGGACTCATGGAAGAGTTAATTGGTACTACAAATCTGAAAAATAGCTTCTTAATAGGACACTTTTATAAATCATGCTATCTAATGCTTCATCGGTGATATTCACTACTAGCATTGCCCTATATCCTTCCCAGTTAATTTAATTCCTCTTTTATTGCTATTATTTCTAGCTATCATGTCACAGTAGAGTGTGACAGATTTTCTTTCTCCCACTCTGATCACACTTTGTTAGACAGGATAATACAAGATTCATCTTTTGTAGGATTAAACATTACGGAGCTAGAAGGAGGGCTCAGATTTTTAGTTTAAATATGTGATGTGATATAAATCCCCCCATCCCAGGCTTTCCATATAGTTACCAACCTTCCTATTCGTTGTGCACAGTCTTCCTCCTGCCACACTGCCATCTTTCCTTTGGCAGCCTCTTATTTTTAATAATGTCCTCCATT